TTGAAACAAAAGAAAAGAGAAAAGATGACAGAGAAAATGAAACTGGAAAAACTTAAGGCTGAGAAAGAAGAACAAGAGAAGAGAGCAATGGAAATCTATGAAGAATGGCTGGTATGTTTATAATTAAGATATCTTTCTACAGGGAGGAATAAAATAATTCTTATGCATGCACATCAAAGATCATTTAACACTTTTGATCTCAGTTTACCTTGAGTGTCATTAAGTATTCTTGTTCCATCTTGGATTACTTCAACCCAAGTCCTACGTGGGACTGAATCTGCCTGTCAAACTTAAACCAACTAAAACAATTTTAAACTAAAATATGTTTTTATGTTTGAAGAACATTTAGATATTTATCCTTGGCAATGAGAGCAAAATTAGACATCACATGAGCACTGACAAATTCTGCAGCTGAATAACTGATCAGGATTGCAAAATATGCGGGCTCTTTATAAAAAAAATAATAATAGAGTACTATAAAAACGTTCTTCCCATTGGACATAACAGGAAGTTGCAGAAATGTTTGTACTGCCCAGGTCAAAATCAAAGGCAAACTTAATTTAAAAGAAAAAGATGTTGAATATCTTAAATTATATGATGTTTTTTTTCCATGAAAGAAGATTATGTCATTTATATGTTCTAAGATTCTTTGTCTGTCTCAGACTGTTTGTTTGTTTACTCAAATATTCATCATTTACAGTTCTGTGGAATATTGGTGGTGCCTTAGAACTAAATCCTGATGATGATGATAATGCATCGATACCATATGCCTGTTTAACTGCATTTTGATGACATCACAACAGATTTTTGTTCACCTCTGAGAAACTGCTGTTACATAGCTGAAAGGAGACTTGCCTTCCTCACATTTGTTTTTGCTGTTGATCCAAAAGAAGGCAAAAAAACCCAGTTTGAAGCACAATTTTGCAACAAGCTAGGAAAAAAATTCCTTCTTGACTCCAGAATGGCAGTCAGATTTATCCTTGGATCGAGCAGTTATTACCCTACATTGAAAGATTATATCCTTGAATATTCTGTTTTTGCAAGTATGCATCTAGTAGCTGTTTGAACATTTGTATGGACTCTGATAAAACCACTTCTTCAGGCAGAGAATTCCACATCCTGATTGTTCTTACAGTAAAAAAACCTTTCCTTTGCCTTAGACAAAATCTTCTTTCTTCCAGTCTAAACGCATGGCCTCGTGTCCTATGTAAAGTCCGGTTTGTGAATAGATTTCCACACAATGGTTTGTACTGGCCCCGAATATATTTGTATAATGTTATCATATCCCCTCTCAGGCAACGTTTTTCTAAACTAAATAGGTTTAAATTTGTTAACCTTTCTTCATAGCTGATATGTTTCATTCCTTTTATTAATTTTGTAGCCCACCTCTGCACTTTTTCTAGTGCCATAATATCCATCTTTAGAACAGGTGCCCAAAATTGCACAGCATATTCAATATGGGGTCTTACCAGTGATTTATAAAGAGGCAAAATGATATTCTCGTCCCGAGAATGAATGCCCTTTTTCATGCATGACAATACCTTACTGGCCTTGGCCACTGCTGATTGACATTGCACATTGTTGCTTAGTTTGTTGTCTATAACAATTCCCAAGTCTTTTTCGTGTGTTGTTATCCCTAATTTGCTTCCATTAAGGGTATACGTTGCTTGTGTATTCTGTACGCCGAAGTGCATAACTTTGCATTTTTCAACATTAAATTTCATCTGCCATTTGAGTGCCCAGTCCCCCAGTCTATCTAAATCCCTCTGCAGCAAAGTAATATCTTGCTCACATTGTATTATTTTACAAAGTTTTGTGTCATCTGCAAACACTTAAACATGACTGTTCACATAGCATTATATGTATTAATCACAATGAGTTTTCTATATCGTTACATTTTGGGATTAAGACTTTTTATGTAGAGGAAAAGGTAATGCAGAGATTGAGTGACAGAGCACAAGAGGAAGCCAAAGACATAAGTGTATTCAAAAAGGCAATGAGGAATACCCAGACAGATACACAAATACAGGAGTTTTACAAAAAGAAAGATAGGTCGACAGAATGAGACACCAACAGAGATGAGGATACTGACACACAAGTATAGAAAGTACCAGCTCAGAGCTTATACTGGTATTTATAGCTTAAATGGACACTGCAGTATCCCTTTAAATGTAAACACTGGCTTTTCAGAGAAAAGGCAATGTTTACATTGGTGCTTAGTAACACCTCTAGTTGCAGCTATTCAGATGGCTACTAGAGGTGCTTCCTAGTCCAGTGCTGCACTGCGGGCATAGAGACACAGAACATTCCCCATAGGGGATGCATTGGGTTAATGCATCTCTATGAGGAGATGCTGATTGGCTTTTTGCAGCGCATGCGCAATGGCTTTACAATGCTTTCCTATGGGAAAGTATTCGTTTGGCTAAGATAATCAAGACTGGTAATCTCAGCCATGGCAAGACCAGCACAAAACAGCCACACCAGCACTATAGTGTCAGGAATTCATGTTTGTATTCCTGACACTATAGTTTTCCTTTACAATTAGTATTACATATTTATTTATTTGTAACAGTAGAAAAAAAAAGTAAATTTTGCCAGTATTTTGTCACAACTAACAGCATTTGTTTTGTGGGTTGTTTTTTTATTTTATTTTTTTTATCTTAGACTCTCATTAACTCTGACCACTATGTTTGTTTTTGTAAAGCAGACAATTATGGAAATCTATACATTTGTAACTAAAATGTAAATTTATGTAAAATGCTGATTGAATCAAAGGCAAGGGCTTTCAACACGCTTGACCTCTGCAGCTGTTAATCTCACCTGGTAAATTAACTCTGTCATGGCCTTCTAGGTAATAACTCCGTGTTTAGGGCACATGCAATGCTCTCTATGATATTCAACCAGTGAAAGTATGACCTTTCTTCCATGTTCTTCCCTGTTAAAGCTAGCTAGCTAGCACAGTACCACATTTTAGCAACCTGGGAAAGTTACAATAATGCATTACGTATTTTATTTCAAACCAGCATTAATCTATATGTAAATGACCGTCTAACATCTTTCTTATATTTGGTATTTTTTCAATTTTTAGGAGAAGAAGGAAAGAAGAGAAAGAATTGGAAAGAAGCAGAAAAAGCTTCAAATTGTTTTAAATGATGATCCTCCACCTCCATGGAGTCCTCCAGGCAAAATAATTCCTACCAGGAAATGATTGGAAATAATCTTTTTCTCCATTTCATGTATTGAAATCTCAAAATTGCCTAACATGTTAATTGAAATGGCTTTTGCATGTTGAGTCATTATTATGCTGTATGGTTCTAAACATTTACAAAGCAGGGTGTGAAATTATGTTGGCATCACCGCTCTTGAAATTGAAAATACATTTCAAGAATGTCAATTCCTCCTATAAGAATAGTATTTTAATTTAAATTATACTTTTATTTATAGCAGATTGTTGCTGATTTTTTACATTAACTGTTTCCATGCATGTATGATGGTGATTGTGGTCTTTTCGACAAACAACTTCACAATATTTATATTTAAGAAATACAATGATAAAATCTATTTTTTTTATTATTTTTTTTCCCAAATGTGTTATTAAATACAAATGGAGAATAATTAGTTCATTGAATGAATATGAAAATGAAAAAGAGCACAGATCTGCATTTGGTTGTGTTTTGCAGGAGAAATTAGTGAATCTGTTTTCCTGTGTTGAGATGCAGCTTTCTAGTCATAATGAGCACAAAAGGAAATTGTTCTCCAAGATGAATCCTAAATTATGCCAGTTGAAAATTGGACAGGCCTTGTGACATCTGAATTTGATAGCATTCACGTGCAATATCTTAAACTTTGTGAAGGGAAATTTTTTATTCTCACACAAAATTTGCCCTGCACTCAAACTCCCACTACCCAAATAGATAGAACAAAGCGTAGGGATTTGAGATAGTGTGCAGGTAACTATTTTTTGGGTTTTGTGTATGGGCTGATGTATACTGTAGCCGTTGTTGCCCATGGATTAGGTGGAGTTTGAACACAGGGCTAAAATTAGTGTTTGTAATTGCCATTACTGTGATACAAAAAAAATCCAGTTATTTAAATGTGCATATGGATTTAGGATAGTGTGCAGGGACATTGTTTTTATTCTGCCCATCCATTTATAACATCTATTATGTCCTTCACCGTACAAACCTTGCATTGAATCTCACCATTCCTGTCAGATTTCCTACTCTTGCACCAATGAAAAGGGGATGACACTGGCTAAGGAAGACTTTACTGTTCTCTGTATGAGATATATATGACATATAATCAAGTAAATGTGTATTTTAGTATATTTCCACCTCCCTACTGTTTTTACAACATATGAGTTTTTATGTTTTGGTGAATAGCCGCAACTAATGTAGTGGAATTAGTTGCCTGCAGGATGGGCAAGGCAAATAACCAGAAGGTAGGGCCAGAAACAAATCTGCATAGTGGTAAATGTCCAATAGCCATCAACATTATGAAGCAGGGTCAAAGAGCAGCCCACGATTTCTTGGAGAAAAATATCTAGCAAATTGCATCATTAGAAGTTGGTAGACTCAGTCGGCTTGAAGTTGTAGATTCGGAAGGTGATGCCAAAGTAACTGTTATGTATGAAAAAAAATTATAAGTTAAGCTTAGTGCTTGTATTCTGTTTCTAAATATCTACATATTTAACATCTGGTAGTGTCTTCAAACTTAATGTGTTGGAAATAAATTTGTGTAGATAAAATTCCTTTGGTATAATTAACTTTTTAAGTTACATAAATTGTTGATAACAGGCTTGAATCCACCCTGGTCACATTGCCTATGTACAAAATGTTAGGAGGTGTGGGAAAGCTTATTAGTGCGCATACAGCATGTTCTTTTACATTTGAAAAATGGCATTTTATATTTTGTCACCTTGACTGTTTTCCATTCTTCACTGAGATATTTTTGGAAAACCGTAAGATATATAGATATATAGATATATATATATATTCTAGCAGCATGCCAACTGTTGTACCTTCAGAGATAGAAGATGTTTGTTATGCTTAATGATATATACGAATAACAATTCCAGTTGCCAGAAGTATTATTTGGCAGTAAAAGTAGTATGTTGCATTAAAATATTGTCTAACTGTAGCTGTAGACCTAGCTGCCACCACTCTCCATACTATAGTATGATATTTATTCATCCAAAGGCTGGAAAAGTCACATATGTCAGGTAAGTATACCCTTGGTATTTTATGAAAGTGTACTTGTCATGCAGAAATTACATAGTATCACTTCCCTTGTATAGTGTGCTGGAAACCAAATAGTTGGCAGATGTGCAGATGAGATATTAGTATACATCACTTATGTACCCATTCAGTATACCTGGTCCTCTGGGCATAACTTCATTAACTGATGCTTCTGATAAGCCTTATACTGTTGTGCAAAAATAATATAGTGCGATAATTTGAAATGTAAAGAAATTACCCTGAAATCTTATAAAAATAGGGTGTTATTTGCAAACCGGCCCAAGGTTAGGATGGTAAATGATGATTTTAAGATATTAATTGTTCGGATTCCTTTTGGAACATCCCTATGTAAGAGTAGAAGATAAAACTTGCTGATATATGTTCTTTTCCAGGAATATATACCAAAACAATAGTATTAAAAAAGGAAAAATGTTCTATTAAGTTATACAAATGTTTATTTTTATTTGCAAACATTTATTCATGGTTTTAAAAGAGAGGAATTGAAGTACAGACAATGTAATACAGGCAAAAGAAGACCCATAGTGGATGTATTCCAGAAATCAAGTGATATTTATTCACCAGATGCTAAAAAATATATCCAACGTTTTTACCTTCTGAGATGTTTAAGCTTGCCAAAAACTGCTGTGGTTTGAAACAGTGAATATGTGTACAAGAGCCAAATTTCCTGGAAGAGTCAAAGAGCTAATGGATATACTGGGGTACTATTCTGAACAATTGCAAACCTCTGAAATGCGACTTGTAGTACATCTTTAGTTAAGGAGCCATCTGTGGCAGTCGGTGAAGTTTCAAGATGGTTGATGCTAGACTCTACCCCTGGAATTTGACACTGCCCACTTAATTTTTTAAAAGTAATACAGGTTAAGTAACAGGCAATACATGCATGTCTAGATCTAGCTTATAGTGCAGGCTTGCAAATGAATTGGGTTGCCAGACATGAGGATAACTAAGAAAGTAATCATGCTCAATCAAGTATTAATATTCAGCGTTCTGGAAAACCACTGGGTTCAAAAAACTTAAATGAACAAATAAACTAGTAGCACTGCAATGCTTATAAAAAATGTCATTAGTAGGTAAGGATACAGTATAAGTCAGTCAGCTTATGCCACTAATGTGCCAGGAACAGAAAATGCACAATGTGATAATAAAATAAACCTTAAAAGGTTATGTTAACTTGTTGACACTGTTCAGATGCACTGGCGATGGGTAAACCTGAAAAATGGCTGACTGCCTAAGCTGAGCAATATGGTAAATCAAAACCGTAATAATGCCACTGTGTAGTAACTAAAATTAAAAAAATACCTCTAATACTTAAAGAACAAATTGTTTATATATTAGTTGGTTAAGCCATAGATCAAAAGCCACAGTGGAAAGTCCAATCTTGTATCGGTTATGCGAGCGCTGTTTGCTCCCTCAGAGCTTTCCAGTTGCAGCAGAATAGGATGCAGTCGAGTGGGACCTGAGACGATTTGCCCCAGCTCTGTGGAGCTTCTAGCCAGAGCCGTAATGGGAACCTGCTTCTGATTTCCAGAGATCCCCCTACTCCAGGCAGAAGGAACGTGGGCTTGCGGAAGCTCCGGTACACGGAGCAGTCCCCGAGTATGTGGACTGTGCGATGGAGGTGACTCCAAGTTTGCTCCCAGCCCTCTCTTGACACTCTCCATAACTTCTTCACCTCATTCCAACAGGAGTGCCATTTCTCATACCATTTCACCCAACTGCCCTCACACATTTACCTCCAGGGCCAGTGCCACCGTTAGGCGAACTAGGCATTTGCTGGGGGCACCCACCGGGATATTACCCGGTGGGCTCCCCCTGTCTTGGGCTGCAATGCTGGGCAAGCGGCTGTAGAGCCGCCCCCCCCCCCCATCCTCCCTCAGCGCCAGGCCGCTCCTCCAAGGGCCCAGAGGAGCCCTATCACAGTATGGCAGAGCAGGCAACTTCTTACCTTGATGACAGGTGCCTGCTCTGTCATCAAATGCCAGTGACTGAGGGAGAGGGGATGGAGCAGGCAGGCGGCGAGGGAGGCTCTTCTTGCAGCCTCTCACTCCTCCCTCGTGCGCCCTCTGATGCCGGAAGCCGGAATATGTTGTCATTGCGCCCCCCGACATAATAAACAGCGGGCGGGAGGAGTGAGAAGCTGCCCCACACTGACCCCAGGGAGGTGAGTATTTTGTCAGTGAGTGAGTGTGTGTCTGTCAGTGAGTGTGTGTGAGTGTATGTCTGTCAGTAAGTGCGTATCGGTGAGTGAGTGAGTTTCTGTGCATGTGTGTCAGTGAGTGTGTGTGTGTCTATCAGTGATTGAGTGTATGTGTGTCACCGTGTGTCAGTGAGTGAGTGACATGAAAGGGCGGCAAAATGGATCTTTGCCTAGGGCGGCAGAAATCCTTGCACCGGCCCCTGTTTACCTCCACCAGAGCATTTGCATATTCCTGTCCCCCTCTGCTCCCATACTATTACCTAGTATAAAAGTATTGTTAAAAAAAATATCATGATGTATGGCTATACTGTACTGGTACTTTTTACCTTTATTACGTTTGAACAATATGTCTAAACTTAATAAATATTTAAAGTGAACCAGTCATGACAGGCTCTAATTTCGTCTGCTTAGTGATTCACTCTCACCCGTAACTGCCAACATCCTCCATCTCTGCTCCACTCTGCTGTCATGGGGTCATGCTGCCGCTGCTTCTGGGAGAAGTAGTGAATTACAACATGGCGGGTTCAATTCGCACATCTTTCTCAATCAGCATGCCTCTCGCTGCATGTTAATAAGTCTTTCTCTCCAGTATGAGGACTTTTGGATCACAGTGTCATTTTCTCATTAATCTTAGAAAACTGATGGAAAAAGGTGCAATATATAACATAAAATAAAAATATGGGCAGCTACATACATCCACAAGCAACTAAAACTGAGTGTAAGCTCATAGGTCAAAAAAGTATGTGCGCTCGTCAATATAATAAAATAAGGAAAATCTATGAAATGCAAATATACATATATTTATATTTATTAAAATAAGACATATATGTGTAGATAATATAAATCGAAAATAAAATCATGACCACACTAATCTAATGCTGGTTGACAAGAATTGATCCTAAGAAAGGCAAATACAACCGTACAAATGTAGATACAAAAGTAGGCAGATGAAACCACCACAGACACAATGTATAAAACAAAGTGTCTAAGGGTCCAAATGCCTACAATGTAACTAAAGATGAAAAACAAACCTATAAATGTATACAAAAAATACCTTTCCTCGGTGTGGGCCCCCACCGAGGTATATGTAAGAAATGGTGATAGAAACCTTGAGAGGATATGATGAATAGATGGAGCGGTGAACAATTGCGAATGCAGACCCCCGGGGGAATTGACAGTTGCACCGCGGTCAGGATCTTCAAAAAAGACTGCGGTGTGATGGGAACAGGTTTGTTTTTCATCTTTAGTTACATTGTAGGCATTTGGACCCTTAGACACTTTGTTTTATACATTGTGTCTGTGGTGGTTTCATTTGCCTACTTTTGTATCTATATTTGTACGGCTGTATTTGCCTTTCTTAGGATCACTTCTTGTCAACCAGCATTAGATTAGTGTGGTCATGATTTTATTTTCGACTCATTAATCTTAGGACCACAAATGGAAGCTAACATCGCGAAGACGAGCACTGAGTAGATCTTTCAGCTGCCTGATCTATATCCGTGTGGAGTGTGCCACCAAGAACTAATTCCTTGTTACTGTGTCTCAACTGTTATGTCATGCCCCTAAATGGAATAACGGAATAGGGCCATAATTAATATTAAAAGTAAGCATGAATCCCCCTCTAATGGATTGAAAATATCATATATCACAGAGCTATATGACGTATTCAATGTATAATATATAGATGTAAATTCATCTAACCTCCAATGTGCTCTATAACACCCACCTGTGCTTCACCTGGTCTCTCTTTTTTTTATTTGCTGTGCTAAGAATACTTTCCCAAGCAGCAGTTTTGTTTTTTAATAGTTTTTTCACCCATCTGTGCAATGTATAGGTTAAATGTTATGCTCTGTAAAAAGTGCATAAGTTATAGGTACTATTACAAGTACCCTTTAAATTTGTCAATACAAATAACATACATTAGTTTGTGTAATTAATGGTCTATATTTGTGTTTTAATCACTCTACTAATATTAATCACCTCCTATACGAGTATATTTCACTGATCCCTCATTCTGGCAGTGAAATGGCAAACAACAAGAGTGCCTCTGGGTAAAACGATAATATGGAGACTAATTGAAATGTGTCTCAAAATGTCCCCTTTAGTTACACTGACAGTTATTCTAGATTAATATTAGCTAAGATACTCTTGGCATTTTCCTCCTACGGAAATCAGTTTTCATGATTTCAAAACATTTTTGCAGCACATGCTTCATATTTAATTTGGCACAATTAGTCATGTAAATTATGTTCCAAGGAAAAAGCCTGAAAATAGCAATTTATATGGCAGGCCTCTACTGTGCTCATGATCAGCTGTAGTTTTTCACTATACCTTACTAAGCATGTAATAATGTACCTGGTACCTATATGTTGTCTTCTGTATTACTATCAAATTGACACCACATAAGAACCATCTAAATAAAATCTGATGGGATACAGCATGGAATGCATACATTTCAAGTTCAGAATAGGGGATTTATCCAAAAATGAAAGGAAAAAGTGAGTGGGCAATTGACCACTCACCTCTTCAACCCTGACAAGAACAAAGCTTTCCCACACATCCAGCCTGTAGTGTCAGTGACTTTGACTACAGAGGTAGAAGTCACCACTAGACTTAGCCAGGTAGGTCAAAAACACTACATTAAAAGGTGCTGGGGGGGAAATGGGGTGCTGCTGTAGGAGCAGGATACATTTAATTGTATTTTTATTTTATTTTTTCACTGCCAAATGTCAAATTACTTTACAAATCTAGAAACAACTTTGAATGGAGAGGTGTGTGGCCAGGTGGATCTCAGCTATCAGATGATGATAACTCAAATATCAAAGTAAACAGCAAGGTAACCCAACTTGGTGAGGTTGAACTTGAGGAAGGCAATTTGTTCAGTTGGTTGCAGGGACATTT